GGGGGGTACGTATGTGTGTGTATGTGTGGGTATGTGCGTGTGTGGGTGTGGTTTCTGCCTGAGTGTTTGAGTCTGTGTAAGCATTTGCCAAGACGTGGAGAAAGCTGTCTCAAACATGACTCACGGACGAATTTGACCCAGATATTATGTGCAAGGCTGAGGGTAAGACCGGCAGGGTCTCCAGAAGGATGTCCACTGTACTGCGCAGGATTCCCAGAGAGTCGATGGACGGAGAAAATGTCCTGTTGTCCCAACATGATAGCGTCATGGCACATGGGATTTGGGGGAAGGGGGGGGGGTGGTCAGAACAAGAACAGAGTTTGTTCATTATAATACGGTCAAGTGTAAGAGAGCATCCAAATTATGAAAAAAAGATTGGCATTATCAGAGAGAATATTAGATCTATATTGAAGTCAAAGTCAAAATAATTACCACATTTTAAAAAAAGATAAAAATTATTCTCAAATAAAAGAAAATAAGTATGTACAAATAGTTGTTAGACAAAAACAAAGGTTTCAACGAATAATGAAAGTAGTGTGCAGATCTAGATCTAGATCTAGTCACAGAAACAGCCAAAGGAAAAACAATATCAAAATAAATACAGAAAATCGTTGTGAAAGGTTTTTGACATTACAAACAGTATGCAACATCAAACAGCTTGTAACCTTCCAACAAAACACGAGCAGCCCCAGAAATAAAATTGGGATTTTAAAAAACAATGGGTGAAAGGGCATTTGAATACCAAGGACCCAAGATCTGGAATGCTTTACCAAGTACTTTAAGAGAGATCAAATCTTTTGATTCATTCAAATGTCAGCTGAAGTCGTTTCTGTTTTTTAAATTAATAAGATGAATATTTGGAGTGATTTTCTTTTAGTCAGAACACAACGTTTTAAGCTACTGTTGTACGTTGTACTGTATTGTAAAGCGCTCACAGCCTGTGTACAAGGTGATCTAAAAAAACAAAACCTGTACAACTTTTTTTTGTTAATATTTACCTCCTCACTGAAGTTTTGCGCTTCAAAATTGTACACAGCATTTTACAAATCAAAAGGAATTTGCCTGATATTCATTTTTTTAAAATCCAGTGAATAGTTTTGTTTTACACAGCGCGAAAAAGGACCCCTTTTCCAGCTATGTCCCCATTGTTGTAGCATGGCGCATTAGTTCGCATTAGGCCTACCATAAAAAAAAATCCCAACGATTGAGCCATATTGCATACTAGAGTCGTGTAACAGGCCAATAGAAGTTTCCAGATAGTTTTTCTCATGTTTCCTTTGCTTGCTGCGATCATGGTTAAGATAAGTAAAGAGAGGAGAGCTTTATGTATTGAACATTTCCTCACCACCAACTCATTTCGTAAGTTTCGCACAAGGTACAGAAATAATGTTAAAGTGCCCAAAGGCCTTCTTTGATGTCAAGGGTGGAAATGGTTCCTCAGTTAGTACATGTAGAGAATCAGAACTAAAAATTTCCTGACAAAAAGACCACTTCAGGTCAAACACACACAGTTCGCACCCCTTTAAACGTCACCAGGGTGCAGAATTCAGAAGATGAGGCACAATGAGACGCCAGTCCGCAGACATTGTCTGCAGCAATGACTTTCTTACATCTCAACTGTCCGCATTCTCAGGACAGATCTTCATCAACGACTGTACCATTTTCCGGTTCGCGAAACTATCAGAGGATAACTGTTCATGATTCTTGGATCATCTTGAAAAGCGTTGAAAATAATTTCCTCTATGATATTTGGGTTGCTTGGCAAAGCCCATACCTTTCAGGTTATATCAACTCCACAAATGCTGTCTATTTGAGCAACCTCACCCCTCCCCCTATTGTCTCTTGCAGCAGCTATACATACTGTAAGGTGTACATTGTATGAGGCTTTGGGTACTCATGGTTGAGTGGACCCTTGTGTTTGGCCACTTTGAACAATACTAACGACGCATTAAAATGTGTCGAGTCCAAAGGAGGACATAATAGACCATTGGATCTCGGAATTTCAGAAAGTAAACAATATTTTTTTGATTCTGTAGGAGAAAAGACATGTTGTTTACAGGTTACTGAGACAGAAAATGTAGATTTTTAAAATAAAAGGAAAGGAAATTAAACCAATCATTTCATGACTTGCCTTACAAGATCATTTGAATTGATGTATTTTGCGTTTTTATGTGGTTTTTATAAAAGACATTTCCGTTTTTAAAATTTAGCTTCTTCTTTGTGAATTTTACGTCTAACAAATTCCTTTTGAATGAATTATATCTATTCCAAATTACAACATTCTAGTACAAATTTTGAGCGAGATATTTAGATAAAAAGTTGTGCAGTTGTTGTTTTTTTTATTACCCGGGCCTGACTTTAATCGGGGTTGGGCGCTATATAAATGTCAATTTATTATTATTATTATTATTATTATTATTATTATTATTATTATTATTATTATTGTGCATCTTACATTTCTGACATGTTAAATACCTCTATGATTTAGTAGAGCAACATTGTGATAACAAAAAAGTGACATAGTCGTGGGGTATAATAATAAATACATAAGCAAACGTGCATACTATCACAGCTTGGTCGATAACGATAACGATAAGCACATCATATTATGGACATGAGAGTACTGGTACTGTGAATGAGACGTACATACAGCAACTGTCAAGATGACATTCACGAAGTATGCTACAAAATGACCCTTACATTTTGCCTCCGACTTTGTATCCCTAAAATTTGGAGGGAGAGAGTTTCTGATAGATGGAGCTAGATGAGCCAAGGCCTTTCCGGTCAGTTTTCGACATGTGTATTTCGGTGAGTCCAAAAGAAACTTGAAAATATATTCACCCTGTTATCATGTTATAGCTTTGCACTACACATTCATGCAGCATACCAATTTTAAGGTAAATAAATTATGCATTGTCTGAACATTAATATTTCATCCATATTAAGAGTAGCCTCAGATACGGTCACTCAAAATTGACCTAAAAAATCAGACTTGGCAAAATTGTGTGAAATCAGATAAACTTGTGTATTCGCTTGTGTATTGAGGTGCGTCAACACTAGAGGAATGGACATGTATTGAGTATCAAATGAATGAAGAATATTATTGTCTTTGCAATTGAAGAATATTGTTATTGTCTTTGCAATGAACAGCATCTTATTACGACAGTTTGAAACAGACTGGAAAACAGAGGAATGAGAAATACCACGCAAATCCTGGACACAACATTATATTTGCCAATTAGCATTTTGTTAGGAGACGTTGATTTTGTTTAGAGCACGAATCCTTTCTGCGCATGGACTTAGATCTTCGAGATAAAAATTGCCTGTGAAGAACAGGGGCGACGAAACTGTCATGGGGCGGGGTGGTCGGGCTGGAATTAACAAAACTGCACTTGTTAAGAATCAACGGATGGCTTCGTTTAGTGGACTACATCGTGCCAAGTGCTGGAATGCTATGTCTTTCACTTTTTCTCGTCATGGTGTCACCCAAGTAGACATCTTCATTCAAGAATAAACGCCTTCTCACAGGGGAAAGCCGCAGGGCAATTTTTGGAAAAAGACATTCCTACCACCAATGGAATGGCCACCGGTCGCGGTTCGTCCATAGAGCACGGTCGTGCAGTGCCATCCAATTTTTTTAGAATGTTCTATTACGCAAAGCACCCACAAACATAACATAAAAGAAGCCAGAAACAAACACTAGCCAAAATATTATGTGATTCGGGAGTTTGAGGTCGCTCCCCCTGAGGCGAGGGGATACAATATTCTGTGTAAATTGTGCCCTCTCGATTTGGGCTCGAGGATCCTGCGCCAAAATCTCTCCAAGCTCAATCGGACTCGAAAAGATTACTAGGGGCAAAGGATCAGGGAGTAGAATGCTGCAATTGTAAAGATCATAATCTGCCAACTTGCTATTTACAACCCGCTTACAAATACCCCCAACATACCTGCCACTATACTGTCTTCCCACTTAGCTCCTCTCTACACTTGTCTTGGCCCGATAGAATAGGCTAACACTAACGATGTCACCTTAGCAGAGACTGAGCCCACCATTTCGGAACTTCATGGTGACCGTAAAGATGGTTCCAGTAGGGAACGGGATAGAGGGTGCCCACGTCCCTCGTGACTCATTGGAGCAGAGGAAGATAGGACAAACGCTAACAGTACTTAAACGAAATCCCTCATCATCACTCATCACCAGTATTAATGTTAAAATCATCACCTCTCTCAGATCAATGACTTACATCTATAATCCTGGAATCTCTATCCGCTGTTACAGTTAATTGATATACTAAGTATGCATGTAATACACTATTGGACACAATCATATGCACTTTTTTCTACTAATCAGATGGCGTCAATCTCATATAAATGGGCAAGGGGGAAAAAAAAGGTGTCAAAACAAGGTTCTCGCTGGCGTTGTAACTGTCATTTCTGTGTCTATAGCGCTGTTAAACATCTACTATGCCATGCCAAAGTCTACGCTCTTTAACTAAAGATAATAGGATATTCAACAATGTAACCTGACCTATAAATCGCTCTTTGAAGTCTTTGGGATAACCCAAGCGAAGGCGGCACATCTCAAATGCGCTCCTGCCCAAGAGTGCCGAAACATAGCCCACAGTAGACAGACTAAAAAATAAACGTGATATACTGTACACTATTCTATGCCAAAATTATGTGAGCCCCGGAGCAATTCAGCTGTCCTCAAGTGGATTTTATTGTGATAGGTTCATTGCCCATTTTGTCACTGTTTCAAGTGACTCGGTGACCGTGAACCTGGGGGAGGTGAACGTGACTGTTCTATGAGTTGTGCCTTTAAATGGTTTTATTGTGGAGTGGTGAAAGTTATTACTTGAGTTTCCAGTTCTAATGCAGGATGAACGAAATTGATGTTCAGCTAACAAATAAATTTAGTTCTAGAAACCAAAACGACAAGTAAATAGAAAGAAAATAAAAGCACAGGGTCCTCCCTAACCAACCCAAAGATCCTAATAATTTAACACCATCTCATTGACTATACCCTTGACTACCTTCAACCTGCGATAGCTTAATTGTGCACGCCAACTTTTTAGCCCCACGAGCTGCCCCTGGCAGTCACCTAGTCTAGTAGGTCAATAGGCCCGATATGAAACTACAGGCTTGTGGAGCACCGTGGAGAGTACAGCAGCTGAACTAACGCGACTTTGCTCCCAATTCAGAAAGCGTTGTTTGCAACTCTGTGTGACATTTGTGTCCATAACACAGTCCATGTCCAAAGGGTTAGTGCTCTACCCGAACCAATGGCTCCTAAACAAAATAATAATGAGCACAATCAATGTGTCAGATGATACAGAATTTGTTTCGCTACCAATTGGTATGCTGCATGATAGGTAGTGTTTTTCTTTAACACGATAATTGAGTATAAGATTTTAAAGTTTCTTTTAGACGACACTGTATATATAGCAAAATGACCAAATAAATGGATACATAAATACTTAGATCGATCGATAGATAGATAGATAGATAGATAGATAGATAGATAGATAGATAGATAGATAGATAGAAATGAAGGAACAAGCATTTGTTGGAGTGGGTTTTTAACTGCACATTCCTTGTACTGTCAGACTGGGATCCAACGAATGATTTTGCTGCTGTAGGGCTATATAAAACCCAAAACAATAACTTTTTACGCTGCCGTGGTCACATATAAAAGTAGGAAATAATATAGGTTTCATGAAAACTAAAACGATATCCCCGACTTTCACATTCAGATATATCTATATCTTAACGGTTATATCTGTGGGTGGTTGGCGGGTGCTTTGGTGTGGTTTGCTCTTTCTTTCCTATCGAACATCTGTCTTCCTTATCTCCCCTTCTTCTTTTTTATGTTTATTAAATTATTACTCTCTTGTAATACCTGTAATCTTCTGGCGCTCATGTGACATGCAGTTGCGAGCGCCGTAAAACCTCTACTAAAACTAAAACTAACTAAAGCTGATCAAAAAAATGTTGTTGGATTTTAAAATGCACCAGAGCAGGAACAGGAAGCTTATATTGTAAGCTCGCATTGGTATCATAATATTGCAGTCGACTATGAATGGGGTGATGTCGGGGAAGTGAAAACAGGATCAACTTATCCGAAATTCAACTTAACCGTTGGGACCTGCAACAAAGAAGAGGATCTGAGACCCGAGAAAAAGATCAATTTATCCGATTAGTCTAGCGAATTCAACAAAATTGTGGTTGACTGTGTATCTTCGTCCTTTGGGCTCAGTATCCGGTACGTGTATTTGTGAGGCAGCATATAATAGTGAAATCAAGCCCTCGTCAAAATAATGAAAGTAAAGAAACTGACACTTTTCCTCTGGTTTGACAATTTTTGTCGATATTTTGTTTTCTGGCTTAACACCCTAAATGTCCATTTGAGGTTTTAAAAAAAACGTTTGTTAAAGGCAAGAAAAATGTCAAATCGCCAGTTTCCACGTACTCTGAGGCTTTGAAAATAAGTAAACTTTAGCAGCCATTTTCTCTCTAATTTTACCCCTGAAACCAGATGATCCCCACCTCATTCAATCGCAAATATCCCGACATTTACTTTAAAAATTAATGGGTAATTATGGAAAGAAAGGCAAATGTACAAGGCGATCCCAATAACTCCACATGCCCAAAAATTGACAAGCGCCTGATTCCACCGCGTTGTGACACATTTATATTTAGAGGAAGCCCTTAAAGACATTATAAGAATGTATTCTGAGTTTAAAGACACTTTTTTCTCTGTAATGAATCCAATTAATGAAGCGTTACCGTGAGTGGAAAATTGTAACCGCCAGTCGAGTGATGTAACGACTACAATTGCTGAGATCGTTGCAGTCTGGCACACACACATGAGAGGGTGAAAGTGTTACATTGATGTTCCTGCAGTCTTCGTCAAAGCATAGACCTCTGAAAAGGGAAATAAATCAAAACAAATCAAAAGTAAATCAACAACAAAAACAACAACAACATAAACAACAACAACAACAACAACAACAACAACAACAACAACAAACAGAAAGAGAAAACGATTAATCTAACAGAAACGTTTCGCATCGCTTCTATATTTACCAGCAGCTTAGTTTCGACACATACATAGTACAGGGCTCACAATACAAGATAAGATAAGATAAGATACATCTTTATTGTCCAGATCCTGGCACATTGGTTTGGTGTTCCACCACGAGTACACACACACACACACACGCACACACACACACACACACACACACACACAAACACACACACAAACACACATACACACGTGCACACACATGCACA